GCACTGAGATTGAGCTTGTAGGTTTTGAAATGGCATTGGCCTGGAGGAACAGAGCGATAATGCTCCAGGAAGGCTTTATGGGGGATAGCAAGGAATGAGTCTCAAAGGATTAGCTGTGACACTCAAAGCAGTGGATAAGTTTGGATGAGGGACAAGTACATGAAAAGATGAAAAAGAAGTAACAGATGAAGTTGGTAAGACAAGAAGCCTGACTCAAGTTATATTTTATCAGATAAAGATGTAATAAAGGATTTAAAATAGAAATTGTCATGGTGATGTATTTTATAGTGACAATTCTAATGGAAATGTGAAAGATGGATTTAAATAGAATAAAAATATTGGTATGGGTTTTTCCAAGAACAAATGAAACCTAATAGGTCAAGTCTAGGATGGTGGTTGTAGGGACAGAAAGAAAGGAACAGATTTCAGAAGTATAGGATGACTCTTTGATTTTTAGCTTAGGGAGCAATGGGTTCATGATGATTCCATTAAATAAAAATGGTACAGGGAAGAGTAACATATTTGGGATGCTAGAAGAGGTCAGTATTTGGTGAGGGGAAGATGGAAGATTATGAATCCTTATGAGGTTCGTAAGGCTTTGTATAGTCACTTGTTAAATCTTTACTTGGCACCCAGCAGTTGTAAAACACAGATACTATGTCGGTGCTGGTGGAGCAGATGCAGATAAACCTGGCCCGATGCATGCCTTTCCCTATCCTATCACTCTACTCTCTTCATCCCCCACCCCCAGCTGCCCTTCTCCTTACAGAAACAGCAGGGTCAGTGTGTTTCTATGTGCAAGAGAAAGGATCAAGGGAGGAAGAAGTTAAAAAGGAGAAAATAGGCTCTGCTTTAGCATCATTTCAATAGACATTCTTCTAAAGTTAATATTCTCAAGTTCACTGTGCTCATTAACACAATCAATAATTATATGTCTAAAATCCATTCTTAGTGACTATTACAATACTATGCATATAGGGCTATTAAGTGAATTTCTATTGATTGATTAAATGAATTTCTATTGATTGCTGTTATGGCTTGTGTCTAGATGTCCCCCCAAAGCCTCATGTGGTTATAGGTGGAGCTTTTCAGAGGTGGCTGGATCAAGAGTACATGATGCTGGGACTAAGGGTGTGTGATCACTAGATTATTCCACTGATTGGTTTGGCATAGTTCTGGGGTAGGTAATGGGAAAGCCAGCCCTGTGTGTGAGTGCTACACACCCTAAGGGGACAGAACATAAGGGACAGAAAGAGGCCTGTTGGCTTCCTTGCTGCGTGCTTCTTTTGCTTTCTTCAGCCTGCCATGAACTGTTTTTCTTCTGTGATGCCCCACTGCCATGCCACCCTGCCTTGGAATCAGCTATGAACTGAAATCTCTACAAGCTGTAAGCCAAAATAAATCGCTCCTTCTGAAACTTTGGGTGTTGAGTATTTTGTCTCAGCAATGAGAAAACCACCTCAAACAATTGCTTTTTAGTGAGAGAATTTAGAAAGTTGAAGAATAATTGTGCATTGTATTTCAAAAGTTAGTTTTAAGATCTTGGTTTTTGCTTTTCTTAATATGTTCAAAATCATGACTGGTAAAGTTTGTAAATAAATATTACATTGATGTTTTTCAATCACTTTTTTATCAAGATAAAATATAGATAATGTAAAATTTCCCATTTTAGCCGTTTTAGGCTCAAAAACTTTCAGTATACTTACATTGTTATTCAACTACCATCCACCTAAAAAATGAGAATTACATTCATTTTTCAAAAAGTTATTCATTGATTTAAGAATCAATGCCTGCCCTTCAACTTTATATATTCCATTTAAAATAAAACAGAACTTCTGCTCTCCTCTAAAATTATATCAAGAGAAACTCCTTCACAAATTGAAAATCAGCTTATGGATTTTTAAATTCAGCAAAGAATTTTAACATTCTACCAATTGTTATGTTTTGCAATACAAAATTTTGTGTCACTTGATTGAAGGAAAAATGATTCTAGTTAAACCATAGCAATGCTACATATATTAAATATTCTCTTTAGCTAAAAGAAAATTTAAAGTTTAGAGCTCCATGTGGCTCTAGAAAAAGTAGACTATAACAGAGTATAAATGACAATAATGAGCCACTTCTTGGCCCACTGTGGACTGTAATACATGTTTTACATGAATGAGTCTACAAGAAGAGAAAATGAAATGCAAATTATATAACAAATATTATTAACTTAACAATTGTAGATTATGATAGTTAATAAGTGAAGTGAATATTCTGCTACTAATTGAAAAAATAATATTGATGAGTCCTTATGTGAAATATGCTAAAGTGATTCTAAATGACTAAATTTCAGTTTACATAGTTTTTCTGAAGGGGAGAGAGTAAAAGATCTACCAAAGGCCACCTTTTACAGGGGCAGCTCCAGAATGTGCAGGGCACTTTGAGGTCCATAGCAGGCATAATGATAATGCAGGCAGTCTCTGGGACCTGGCGGTCTGAGAGCCTCAATGTCTATGCTGCCACTTCTCAGCTATGTAGAACTAGACAAACTTTTAAACATGTCTGCCTCACTTGCTATATTCATTAAATGAGGCCAAACAGGCTTTTTGCAATAATGAAGTGTGTCGGCACAGATCAAGTGTCTTAATATGTACCCATACTAAGAATTTGTACGTGAAGTGTTATCATGGCCTTTACTACTTCTTTACTCAAAACATGATCTAGGAACCAAAGTGTCTTCCTCCCATACAAAAGTTTCAAAGAATACAAATAATGCTTCTGGAAGGTATTTGATTTTTGTCTTTAAAAAAATGAATTCTCCCATTTTAATGGCTAAAGTGTGACCTTTTATTAAAGACAAGACCAGTACTATCACTATGATCACTACCACCACCCTGCATTATAGTCGCTATTATCACCATCATCAGTATCACATAATCCTCACCAGAAGTTTTACTCAATTTCCACTATAACCATCATAACCACTTTTGCTCTCCTGCTTTTGTGAGAGACATCACCACATCCACAGTGCTACCACCATCACCACCATCACTACCTGCAGCATTACCAGCACCATCATCCTCACTGCTATCACTGTCTCCACCTTTCACATCCACCTGAATATATAGGTGAATTTAGAAGTGAATTGTGAGAGTCTAAATGAAACAGGGAAAATGTCAAGGTACACACCCTGGTAAATGGAGGAAGACGATTTTCTAAATGGATTTGTGGGACTAAGTGTAAGATAAATCAGAAGGCATAGCCAGTCTAGAAAAGTTTTAGGCAAGTTTGCTTTAAATTACTGTTACAAAGAATACTAGGTTTCATGAACTTGGAGTGCAGGTAGCTACAAAGAATATTCTAGAAACAAAAAAGGAGTCATGCTCCTGTGCTGCATAAAAGGCTTGAGAAAAAGAGGTTCAGAGTAAAATGTTTAGAAGGGTAAAATTAAAAGTGCCCTCTATACTAGTTTGTGCCATTTGGAATCCATAGTTAAAGTTATTTGAATCAGAAGTTGAAGAATAGACTTTAATCAAAGAGACAGTATGAGTTTCATATCTGCTATATATCAGAGGTTGAGTGAGTTAATTATGCTCCCCAAATCAATATTTGAGTGAGTTAATTATGCACTCCAATATTCTCCATCTGAAAATTTAGATGATTACTTAAAATTTTTGTGAACCTTTAAACAGTGCATTCAACATAAGCACTTAACACAAAGTTTATATAAGATTAAGGCTTACTCCTTTATTCCTTAACCGGTTTTACTCCTAATTATAACTACTATGTTAATGGTGCCATCATTCAAAGGGAAGTTAACCTCAACTCAAGCCTTTCCCTCAAGGATCAACCCCTTTCTCAAGAATTGAAGAATTGTCGTTAGTAAATTCTTCCTGTCCCAAATTTCAAATGTAGCTCAATCCATCCACTTCCATTTTCCTTGCCTGTGGGCTATCTTTGCTCAAGCCCAAAGGAGCAGGTTAGACCTCTCTTAGCTGCTACTCAGGATAATACATTCTCCTCATCACAGCTAGTGCAAACTTTGAACAAGGCAGGCAGAAAATGCTTAAAGCCTTCGCTAGCTTACTGTTTCACTTAGAATCAAACTCATACCCTATACCATCACTTTTTGGTCACGAACTGTTCCTTGTCCATCTTTTCTGCTTTTCCTCTTACTGCTTTATCTCTAACTCTAGAAGCTTTGGCCACACCATCCTTTATCCTTGATGCATTGAGCTGTTGGATTTGTCCTATTTAAAGAAGTCTACCAGATCTACGTATTAAAAGTAGTATCTTTCATAGTTCATCTGGTCCTCTTCATCATTTCTCCTTATTTTTGTTATAACTCTTATAATATGATGTTATATTTATTATACATCTGTTTTTTATCATTTATTTCATCACCTATTGTCAGAATATAAGATTTTAAAGACGATGACATTGTTAACCTTTTCCATGTTTCTATCCCCAGTGCCAAGAGCAGCACCTACCATGTATTTGAAATGCAATGAAATATTTACTGTACAAATTAAAAATCAAAATTTGGAGGGAAGTAAATAACATCTCATTATGGAGAAAAAATTATGGTAAAAAATAGAGGGGACATTTTTCAATAAATAAAGAATCCCTCAAATCACTAAATGTAGACAGAATAACAGATGATTGATACACTCAGGAAGACTCAGTAATTATCTCATAAGGTGTCCTGAAATGGACAGGCAAGTTTAAGGGAAGCCATTATTTTGCTCAGATCCAGAGTTCATAACTGACGGTATTTAACGTAGTATTGAAGCTAACATACCCACATTCAAGAGCTCAATCGCTGCCATTGTGTTAGTACCACAATTTGAATGCAATGGCTTTGAAACATAAATAAGGGGAGAAAAAGTATATGCTGATAGGCACTAAAAAGGCAAGACAAAAGATTAGACATTGTGATTATTTTGTTAAAGGAATATATGATATCTGGAAAGCACAAATGAAACTGACACAGCATTTCAAAGCTTCATACTCACCGTGCAAGGGGTCTGCATCCACGGCTCCCCATCGATCTGCATCGGCAGAGACTTGCTGGTCCTGGAGGAAGACATTTCTTTCACTTTAAGTATAACACTGAAATATTTCATGTAGCAGACTGTATGTTAGAAGGCAAGTACGGTAATAGCTGGACTGTAAAGTTACCTCATCTGAAAGGGAGGTGTTTATTTGCTACTAAAGAATACCTGTAAAGTACTGTGGTCATGGGAATGTTAAGAGTTTCCTGGTAAATGTAGTGATAATAAACAAAAATTCTGAATGCCAAAAGAAACTGTCAGGGTTTATGCTTAAGGACATAATCAGAGTTCCTACAACCAAAAGAGACTCCTTGTTTTCATGCCTGCCCACATTGCAAACCTGGAGAAAAGATGTTGGACATCTCAGATTTTCCGGGATCAACCCTTTTATATAAATAACATCCATTGGATCTGCATTAGAATTTGTAGTTTTACCCTAGGATCAAAAGAAACCTTTTTTTTCTCCCTTCCTACATGTGAAATATTAGGAAAACTTTGTAAGTTTCACATTCAATGCACAAAACTTTTACTATGCAAGTATTCATTATTCATTTTACAGAAACAATATGGAATTTTAATCCATGAGAGAATTTAAGTGCATAGTGTATTACCAGGTTTGTTTGGGGGTTTTTTTGCTCATTTGCCTAGTAAATACATGGTTTGCTTCAATAAACTGAGTATGAATGAGTACGGGGGGAGGAAATTTGCATGTTAGAATTACTGCATCCCTGTATCCATGGTAGTCACCATGAGAGAATCAGATTCCAAAGAATTTGATTAGAGATAACTAACAAATACTCTGTAAAACCTGCCAATTTAATTATTTTGACATATAGAAGTATTAGTCATTGATAATTTGAAACAAAAATAAGACAAATGACATTCTCAGAGTCCCGCATCATTTTAATTAGCTTGTGGCTATGCCCCGTCCAACATCTCCCTCAGTGACAGAGAAAGAAGTACCTGATGACCACCGAGGAGCACTGGGCCAGCCGACGGCCAGCGCTTTTCAGCCCTGTGTAGATTTGCCCCATTTCCATGGCTCCTTCCAAGCCAACTACTTCCACCAGCTGGTCACTCAGGTCTGAAAGAAAACAGATGCTGTGTGAATTGCGGTGAGTGTGCATATACCCACAACTAAAAGCCACAGAGATTGTGCAAATAATGAAAGCCACTTCACAAAGAAAGCTTTTTTATCTGAAAACCAGAAGTAATGAAAAGATGGCCTACTTCTGGAACTCTTGGCTTAACTAAACCTTGAAGTTCGTTTTATGGAAAACGATTTACTGTCAGCTTATTCTAAAACGAGGGAAGAACAAATTCTGAGCCAAAATAACGCCCCCAAAACATACCAGTAGTTCTTAACATCAACAAACCTAATGTTATTCCACATGTATATATGGAACATTCAGACATCCCACATCAGACATTTGGCAGCAAATACACATTTTCATCACTATAAATAAAGTATGAGGATATGCTGTCAAACATGATTTTGTTAAATCACTCAAACAAGAGGCTTTGGAGATTATAGAGTTAAAACTTCTCATTTTATACAGATTGGAATCCTGAGCACCTTTGTCATTGAATGGCTTGTCCACAATCATAGATAACTTCATAACAATTCAAGGAATAATAATAGTTTCTTGAAATGCTTTCCTAATGTTAAGGAATACATAGTCTACCAAAGCAATATTTAGGAGTAAACTAGATAATTAGGACAGTACCCTTACCATTACTATTATGATTAACAGGAAGCATTAGAAAGGGACTGATAGGAGTAGTTATCAGTTGTATGGTGTTTACTAAGTACCTATGGCAGCTCTAATCACTCTGTACTTATCTCCATTGGCTCCCTCATAGAACCAACTTAAGACAAATATGATTATCCCTGTTCACAGGAGACGCTGAAATCTAGGGAAATTAATTTTCTTTTTATATTCACCTGCCAGGGGAGGGTTAAAGCCAAAATATGAACCCAACCGCTTTGAAGCATAAATACTGTACTAATCTTTGATAAACCTGTCACATGAAAAGGAAATACTTTAAAAAATTACAGAAGTATTTCTTACATGCAAGGGGAGGTTAGATTGTGTGACTGTCAAGCTCCTTTGCCAACTGCAAGATCCACACTGAGCCAGATAGCAGTCTTGGAACTCAGACCATTAGAAACCCCAGAAATCCCTGGTTTCAAATGCCAGGAGAGTCGCCCTCTCATGTACTGAACTCAGGGTGATAAGATCCTTGATTTGGAGCCAGAACTGTGGGTTATGGTCCTTTTCTATTTCATTATTCCTCTGCACTCTCAGGTGTACTTTCAAATGTAAATAAATAATTTCACTTTGTTTTCATAGCAAAAAAAATTTTATATAAGGTGCACACAGATAAAGGCTTGATGTTTATAGAAAATAAGGCCATGATAGATGGTCTTAGCCATGGTTGGAATGGTAGAAAACAAAAACCCATGTGTTTTGTGTGGAATCTATCTGTACAAAGAACTCTCACTCCTCACTAATGAATCCTTCTTAGCACCAAGTTCAGGATGTTAATAATTATGTTTCAGCATAGTTCAACTGTGGCAAATAACATGTTGAAACCTCAAAGTTCATTAGACCAGAAACACTGGAAAATTTAATACACACACAACACAAAATATGTGACCAAGCCTTCATATTTTTAAAGCAAATGATAAAAAACTATAATTTCTAAGTTTTAAATTGTAGCTGCCACGTGAGATTGGTCCAAGTAAAACCAATCTTTCTGCTACAAAAACAAATGTTACAAAGTCATGGCTTAGGGTACCCACCTTGCTGCTGTCACTCCATTCAGAGTTATTTCTCAGGAAGCTTATTCCATGTTTCTAGTTTAAATTTGTATTGCCAAGAACAGATGGACAAGGAATGGAAACATATTCTTTCAGCTGTAGCCGGCACTAAAATGTGCTTGGCTCTGTAGCCTGGCTGTTAATATACGCATCTCTCAGATATATATCAACCAGAAAATGGCATTGTGGCAAGCACTAAGTCCCCAGATGTGTGCCTGATGGTAGTGACAAAACAGCAATAACAATCACCAACACCACCATAGGACTGGAATTCACAATTGGTATTACATATAGGTTGTACACTCCTTGATTTCTAAGTAGGTGAAATTTTATGTTAATTTTTGTAATGAATTGAGGCTCATTGATGAGAAGTATAAGGCCTGAAACACTTTCTCACAACAGAGTTAATCTGTGAGTTTTAACTTTTCCATGAATCACAGGGATTTGTCTACACACACACCATATTGCTACTGTCTACCACCCTCCTTCTGATTTTTTTCTTTCTTTTAATTCGTCTTTGTTTTTCTTTCTGAAAAATACCCTAAAATCAATTCTACTGTTAATAATCAGTATGAAGATATTTCTTATGTATTTAGAAGTTTAAGCTTTCAAATTTTCATGTTCTTCTAATACGAATAGTTACGTGGGAACTGTGGAATGTCTGTGAACATTGGCAAAGGCAAATAAATACTATCATATTCCTCCTAATTAGGTATGTAGGAGGAAAAAAACCAAAAACAACAAAATAGAACTTTAAATTTGTTGTGTGCAAATGTATTCACATTTTTTTAGATGCAACATCATTTGCAGTGTCTGTCTGTATACAGTTGACATCCCCCGCATGCTCTCATTGAGATTTTGTCTTGATTTCCAACCATTTCTATCTACAGGTCTATGGTACGTGCCAAAAAGAAAAAAATGTATACATCAGGTAAAGACAAATTTGTATAAACATTTTAATACTAAATTTATTGAAACAACATGAGATTAATACAAGTTACTTTTGGCCTCTACAATGTATAAAAGTGCTCAAAGTAGTGGTCATAGCTTCCAGATGTTTATTAGTAGGGTGAACTGCTAAATGTGTATACAATTTTTTGGCAGATTCTGTACATATTTTGGAAACCTGCTTCTGTATGTATTATCCTTTGAAAACATCAAAGGTTTCTTCACCTCACATTGTAGCTAATACCTTAAGCAAAGCTCTCCTTTGAGTGTTCTAAGCAACCACATTAACCTACTTAATTGGTTTGCTATGTGGTTGATTTCATATTTAGCAATAAGGGTAGCATACTGTAGCCAATAGGTCCAATCCAGTCTACTGTATGTTTTTGTATGGCTTATGAATTAAGCATAATTTGTACATATTTAAAATGTGGAAGAAGTTTAAAAGAGGATACTATAGGTGACATAGGAAAATAATGTGAAATTCAAATTTCATTGTATGTAAAGTAGTTTTTATTGGAACATAGCCACACACACTCATTCCGGTTTTGTCTCCATCAGTTTTAGTAGTACAATGGAAGAGAATAGTTTTGACAAGAACCATATGGCCCACAAAGTCTAAAATCTTTACTCTGGACATTTAGATAAAAAGTCTGCCAACGTCTGCTTAACAAAACATTAACACTTTCACTTTAGTTCTCCTGTTACAAATGTTAAATGCCATTGCTATGACCTAGAAGATAAAATTTCCAACACTGATCCCACAGGGCATATCCATGTGTACAACAGCTGCTCTTGACCATAGCATCTCACTAAAGTCACGGGATGTGTGTCACAGTCCATAAGTCCATTATTTATGCATGATCAAATAGCAAAGTTTCCAAATAATTTTATCTCTAGATAGACAAACTAGAAATCTTAATGCTCAGCTTTATGCTCAGTCATTGCCTTCTTGTTGGCTGTATTGAGTGGAAGAAGTGGAGTTGCAGATAGGAAGGCAGAAGTAGCAGCTATACCTGGAGCTCCAGGTGGGAGTCAGCCCCACCTTCCAGAGCCCTGGGTCAGGGGATGGGAAATCAGACACTGTATTACAGGGACATACATGTGTCCTGGGGGTATCTCGCTGTGGTTCAATTTAATGTTCTGAGATAAATGTTTGAAGGGGAAAATGGTAAGTTTCTTAAAGAGCTAACATCTTTCCAAATACTTCCATGGGGATGATGGAGAAAAGAGAATCTTTCAAATTAGATAGAAATGTGGGAAAATACAACCTAATTATTCCTAGCATGTAATTGAAATTAAATACTTCTTTCAAATATTAATTTAGGCAAGAAACCATACTTGAGGCAATACCAATGACTGTGACTGACAGATATTACATGTATTTTATATTATTATTATCATAATTTCATTTTTTAAAGATTTTAACCATTTAAAATTATCCCAAATCCCAAAACATCAGCAGTATCTATAAAATAATAAATTTTAATTTTATTTAAATTTTAAAAATTTAATTGTGTGAAACAATTACACATATTATCTATACTTATTATCATTTTGAAATTTTAATATTTGGCCTTCTGCTAGATTTTTAAATTTAGTTTGTTAGTAACTAAGTACATATATAAATAAATCAAATTTTAATGCCATTTTAACATATGGCTTCCTTTTTTAGCCATTATCATTTATATATTTTATCCTTTGACTTTTAACACATAATGTATTTATCTTTTGGATTTTAGCACATTTGTTCTGGGGAGAGTCAGAAGATTTCACCAGAATAGCACCAAAATGGTAAGGAACCCTACTCTGAAGTGGAAGCTGCCTTTGACTTTGTAAATTGTTCTTTGAACATTAGATGATACATTATTCTTACACAGGTAATCAAGGTATGAATGTAAAGTCTGAAAGTCAGTGGCACAGATAGAGAACATGGAAGCAGCATGGCTAATAAGTGGGCAATGTTTATTCATCGAGCTTAGTCTCTTCGTTTGGACAGCTATGCCTGATGGTATGTCTCGTTATGTAATTGTTTCAGACTGCCATATGTGAGCTAACAGAAGAAGATGCACTCACTGCAAACACAGACTGTGTGTGGGTTGTAGCATTTCATAGCACAGAGTGAGTCCCAAATGAGAGGGGTGGGGAGTAGGGCAGAGCAGGAAACCCTCATGTGTGTGTGTGTCCAGCAACGTGCTGCCCAGGATGGATCCACTGAAGATATGTTCTTAGCAAGGCTACTACCCTGTTCTACTATGGCTCCCACCTAGAGATGTGTTCATGCCTCAGCAGGGGCACTTTGCAATCGACATATG